GGGCATTTGGGTTGTTTCCATAGCTTAGCTATTGTAAATAGTGCTGCTGGCGGGGAGAGGAAGGATTAGGGTCAAAATAAGGGGGGGTGCAATTGTATGGGGAATATAACCAAAATGAAAATGCATACATTGTGCAAAAATGAAAAATGATGCAAGAATTATATAAAATATTAAAAGAAAGCTAATCAAGGAGAAACAACCAAATTCAGGAAAACGAGTGACTGTTGTGAGAAATATAATTAATGAACAGAAAATATAAATTGAAGATGTAAGTAAGAAAATAGGGGAATTGCAGGATGGGAAAAGATCAGTTGGGGGCGGGGGGCAGAGACGTCTGTAGGAAGCTGTGGGAGCAGAATGGAGCAAATGGAGGATGGAGCCAGTGACCTGGAAGATCCAGGTGGAAGGAAAAGAGAAATACGAAGGGAAAGTGAGGGAACACTCCCGGTTTTGCTTCCTTCTGAATAGGTGCCTTCCTGTGGTTCATAACTTAAAAGATGCAAAAGAGGATACAGGCCAAGTCCCTCTTCTGTTCCTGACAGCCCATGACAGTGATTCTGCCCAGCTCTCCACCGTCATTCTTGGGACTGTGACTCCAGGGGTGTTTTATGTGTGTATGAATGAAACATGTAATTCCCCCCTTTTTATAAATATTCTCCCACTTTCTGCACAAAGGGTAGTATACTAAATATTTGGTTTTGTAGACTCAGGTATTGCTGAGCATTCTGCTTTTTTGGCGATGGTGTTTTTGGTTATATATGTGCTTGGCTGGGGGCGCAGGTGGTGTTCGGGCGTCTCCCCTTGCTGTCGCTTAGCCTGAGGAGGCAGAGGGAAACTAACAGCGACATTTGCCTTTCTGGAAACGGACTAGGGACAGAATTAGCTGGTGTGGAGAACAATGAAGACCATCATGATTGAATGGCTGAGACTCTGTGACTCAAGTCAAATAAAAAAAAAAAAAAGGTTATTATTGTGAATGTTATTAGGGACGTGCATGCATTGAGCACAATTCAGGTTTGATAAGCTCCTTTTTATTTGCACAAAATGAGCTGACGCAAGGCCCAGCATCCCATTATTGGATTTCTGCAGCCTAAGAGGGTGTCTTTAGCTCCTCTCTTGCTGCATGTTGAATGTCTGATCGCGGCTGGCGGCGGGCATGGGGGCGAGCCTCCGCTTGTTCAGCTCCCTGGGAGACGGGATTGGAGACACGTGGTCCTGGGCCCCGCAGGTGCCATGCAGTAAGGACGGGAGATGGACTCGGCTTGTCCTGCCTGCTGAGGCTTCCAGAATGACTGTCCCATGGAGCCGTCTCCAGGCACTGGCTCCTATTGACTCGGGGCACTGACTTCTATTGACCAGTGGAGAAAGGTTTCAAGTGATAGAGCTCCCACCCTGAATTTATCTTTTTTTTTTTTTAATATGTATTTATTTATGCATAGAAGAACTGGGGTGTAGGACAGAGGCACGGGGTGAGAGGATTCACCAGAGACAGAGTATGGAGCAGAACAAGCGGATCTGCTGAAATACACGGCTGAGGGGAGCAGCGGGGAGACAGGAGAGGCCTGCTGTGCCATGTGGGTCAGCGGCCTGGCCGGGGATCTAACTCAGGCCACAGTGGTGATAGCGCTAGATTTAACCCTTGGTCACCAGGGAGGGCTTGAATTTATTTTTCCGTGAAGAAAGCTTGTCTGTGATGTGGCGGCCCAGACTGCCTCCCTTCTGCCTGCCCAGCCCAGCTTCCCTAGAACTGCACTTTGAGTGCTACGGTTCAAGCTTGAGGGACAGACAGGCAGTCCCTGCTAAACTCATTCCTCTGTGTATAGCTCGTCCATGTCAGTCATTCTCCACAGCATTGCAAACGCCACCTTTGTGCAAGTGAAGTCAGTTTCCTTCTGGTGTCAGCCCCGGGGTTAGCGTGTTTTTCCTAAACACTTGATTTCTGTTCCCTCTGCCCCGCACCACGAAGCTGGTTGCTTCTTGCTTCTCTCTGGTGGTTGGGGAGGCTGCAGGCACAGCTGACAGCCCGTTCCAGGCAAGCAAGAAAGACGGGGTGTACAAATTGGGGCACTTTTGCCTGCACCTGCTTTTTTTAATTCCCTTTTCATTCTTTCCCCCGACCCATGGGTTACTTATTTTTCATTTTATTATGTCACAGTGCAGGTACTTCACAGATCCCTTTAATCCTTTCAGCACACAGTAGGAAATTAATACATTTTTTTTAAAGATTTATTTATTTATTTATTTATTTATTTATGTATGTATTTATTTATTCATACAAGCACTGGGTACAGTCAGAAGCGCCGGAGGGTGAGAGGATTCACCAGAGCCAGAGCGGGGAGCAGAGCAGGCAGAAGGACCGAAGGACACTGCTGAGGGGAGCCGCGGGCGGCAGGAGAGGTCTGCGCGCCATGTGGGACCCTCCTCCGGTGGCCGGGGAGCAGCCGGGGATCGAACCGGCGCCGCAGAGGCTGCGGGCAGCTTCACAACCCAGCGCTCAACCGCTGCGCCACCGGGAGGCCCATTTCTTAAAGCACAGGCAGACATTTGCTTTCTCGCGCTGGTCTGTTTCCGTGTCTGGATTGCAGTCCACACCTTCCCAGCTCGCGACCTTCGCTGACCTTGCCAGGAGAGCACGCAGCTACGGGCACCTCTCCACAGGTCAGCCTGACAGTGACAGGGCTGGGTGGTGATGGTGGGTGCCGTCATTTCCATGACAATGTGCAGCGTTACCATAAGAACATAATGATAATTTCAGTCCAAGGAGAAGCTGGAGGCACAGCAGCACGCAGCTGCAGAGCACACTGTGCGCGCCCACCAGAAGGTCGTCCTCTGTGCCATGGCCACAGCCCTGAGTCTCTTCAGGAATGTGGAGTCCATTCCCCAGGGCAAGAAACGTATCCACAGGCAGAAGAAGCCCTCACTTGAGTTATTGCTGAATTTATTGTTCTCTTTGTGTTTTGGCTTCCGCTTGAGAATGCATTCTGGTCTGCAAATGTTTCTCCTGAAAATTCATGTTGTTCCTCCAGAGCTGATGGAATATTGAATGAGATCCCTTCGACAGTCGAGCTGTGAATTGAGGGTGAAGAACTCACTGGGTATTAATGTAATGCTTCAGTGTCCGACAGCTATTAGAATACAAATCAAGGGCTGAGGGTGCGAGGGCTGGCTGAGAGCCGTGGTTCTTACAGCGCGTCTGAGCCGTCCTTCGAGTAACAGATGTCTGAGCGATGTGTCGGGTGACTCTCCCAGGCCAGGTGACAGGGACACAGGAGCTGAAGTCGAAAGCACAGTCTTGCCCCACGTCAGCGTGGCATCCAGGGAAGGGCCTCTGCTGCCCAGACTGGAGCCAGTGCCTCCCTTAGGCCTCTCAGCCCTGCCCAGTGCCTGAAACTTCACCCTGCAATGCCTCTCCTCCTCATCTAGGGCAGGAGGATCCGTAGTTCTGTGGCCCAGAAGAGCCAGTGGGTCACAGCGTCCAGCCCAGAATACCTGGAGGAAGATGTTCTTTCAGGGGCCGCACAGCGGCCCCAGCAAGCACACGGGGTCCTGACCAGCCAGCACAGCCGGAGGCGGCGAGGATGCATGCTGGCAGCATGCTGACAGCATCTGTTTGTGGAGGTGGGGAGCAGGAGCCAGTGGGAAGACCTTGAGCGAGCAGGGAGAATCCCTGGTGCTTCAGGACGGGGACGGAGGTTGCTGTGAGGCCAGACTTTCTCCAGCGACTTGCTGCCTCTCTTAAGCTCTTCCTGCACATAGACAAAAGGGGAGCAGGTGCCAGAGCCGAGGCTGCCTTGGTTCCAAAACCCGGTCAGGACAACGGGGGCAGCGAAGTGTGGGCTCTCGCACCACCTGAGGCAGTAGATGCAAAAACCTTTAATGAAATATTAGCAACCAGAGTCCAGTTTAAATATATATACACATATATAAAATATGGACACGTTACATATATGTACACACATACACAGCCTATGCATGTTTTCTATCAGGCAGGATTTAGCTTAGAAATGTGAAGATAAGTTAACATTTAAAAAAAACCCAGCACCTCTATAGCTGCTCTTGGTCAAGCTTCTCAGCGGTGTAGAAAACAGCTTTTTTTAAGGGATGGATGATACCCATCAAACATCTATGCCAACTCTTTCTTTAATGATGAAACATGACAAGATAAAAACGCCCGCCGCTACCCTTCACGGTCAGCTTCCCACTAGAGACAGCGCACACCGGAATAAGACAAGAAAAGAAGTAAGAGTCAGAAGATTGAAGGACGAAATGCCCGAGGTTTCTGTGGAGTGTGTAGGTTCAAGATAAACATCCAGAGCCCTGCTGCTCTCTCCCCCAGCGGTCCCCCAGCAGTCTTTATTTTCAAAGATTCACACATTTTCAAAGATTGTTTTTCAAAGATATTCACAATGGCAATAAAAATTGTGAAAAATATCAGTGTCAGGAGCTGCTGGGCAAGGGACACCCCTTCGGGGGCCAGCCCCGCCTGTCCTGCAGACATCTGTCAGCTGGGGGCACGGACGCCTCCTCCCAGACCGAGGGGGCTGTCTGAGTCCGAGGAGCATCGCCAGCCGCCGTCCATTCAACACAGAGTAGCAAGTCCCGGCCCAGGTCCCGGCCCCTCGGGTGGAGCAGCTCACACTGTCCACCCCTACAGGGGTCCCCCACCTTGCTGAGTGTGCTCTGGGCCATGTCGCTGTGTCTTTGTTCTGATCACGAGAGACGTGGGGGTGGGGGGGCAGTTACCCGCCCCATGCCAGGGTCATGTCCTTGCAAGATGCAGTCACCTTGGTCTTCCTGCTCCATCTAAGGGAAGCATCCATTAAGAACAGGGAACATGTTGGGGTCTTGCTTTGGTTGAAATGTCTTTCTGACGCCCCATCTCCTGGGAGGTGGTGACGTCTGTGTGGCCCGGAGCCTGTTTGCTCCTGTGTGGATGGGCTCACTGGCCCGGAGGAGGTGGGAGTGCCCTAACCCTGACGCCTCTGCCCTCTGTGCCCCAGGTACTCCTTCCAGGACGAGGAGGACATGTTCATGGTGGTCGACCTGCTGCTGGGCGGGGACCTGCGCTACCACCTGCAGCAGAGCGTGCGCTTCTCCGAGGGCGCCGTGAAGCTCTACATCTGCGAGCTGGCCCTGGCCCTGGACTACCTGCGGCGGCACCACATCATCCACAGGTAGGAGGCGGGGGCCGGGGGGGAGCTGGGGACAGGGCAGGGGTGACAGTGCTCTCAGCAAGAGGCGGCGTTTCTCACCTGCGGCGCTGTGCATGGATAATGGAGAGCTGAGGGGCTTGGCTGTTGCTCTGCATTCTCTGCGGCCAGCCCTCTCCTGTGCCTCCTGCATCGGTGGGGAATGTACCCCCTGAGCACCCGACCCCTCGGGGTGCCCCTCTGGTAGAGACCTGGTGGGGGCCTGGCCTTGGTGTCTCTGGAGAGGCTGGGACACCTGACCCTCTTGGCTTAGAAAGCTCACAGGGGCCTTGGCTGAAAGTAGGAGGATTCTGTGATCTTCCCTTTCACGCTTAGAAGTCACAGCTGTGCCTGGGGGGCTTCCCTCCTCTTGAGAAGCCCCTTGTTGGCTGTGGGCTTGGATATGAGCGCTGGGTTTCTGCTGCCTCCTGGGGCCATAGCCTCTGCTCGTCTCTCCCAGCACCGCGCCCTCATGCCCCACGCCCTCCCTCGGTCCCCCTCGGTGAGCAAAGCACTTTAGTCTGCAGAGGGGGGGTCAGCAGGAAGCTTCAGGAGCCATGGCGTTATTGAGGATCCCGGGGTTCCAGGGAGGCGTTGGGGTGGGGGCTCCACCTCTGTTCAGCCCAGATCTTATCCTGGACCCAACTGATCTTGACTTAATTTTGGATGAGCCGGGGAAGACCAGCTCTTGAACTTCTGGCTAAAGATGGTGGCTTAAACCCTCACATGCACATACCTATGGTCTCTCCCCTCGTACACCCCCATAAAATGACCATGAGGAAGGAATGCTTCAAAAATGACAAGTTCACCAGCTTGGGGAGACTACAGGAGACTGACGGAGTGGCGGGCTCGGGGAGATGGAGCTGCAGATGACCTAGGCCCCCAGAGATGGAATTTCAAATGGTCATTGAGGAGAAACAAGAACTGATGGGCACTAAAGAACCCCAAGAGGGCTCGGGAAGTGCTGGAATTGCTGTTTATGGAAGGAGAGGGCTTAAAAGAGGCTAAAATAAAGTGAGTTGTCTGAAAACCTCCCAAGAGTCCTGGTGCCCCCGATCTGCGGGCCCACCCTGAACATCCAGGAGGCCACCCGCCCCCCTCGTCCACCCACGCAGAAGGATGAAGCCTTGGTCCCTAAAGAGGGCAAAACGGAGTGTCTGTGCACGCCACACCTACTGCAGTGGGGTGCTGTGCTGACAACAGCAAGTCTACCTAGATCTGCACAATGCAGAGGCTGAAATGACCCCTCCCCACCGCAGCTGGCTCAGAGTAGTACCCAGGCCTCCCTCCTCCAGGCTGGACAGTCTAATATTTCAGGGGCAACAAGAGCTTACAGGAAAGAGACCGTGACGGCAGCCGTTCCTCATCCCCCCAGAAAGTAGCTCACAGTCAGCGAGCCCCACTCAACATGCTGTCACCTCCTGAGGAGGGTCGTGACGACCAAGGATGATCAGACATTCAGGGAGATCTTCCAACGTGGATGTTGAAATCCAAACAACCGAATGGGAAAAGGAAATAAATAACTTGCAGAGAAACGGGTTCTGCCAGGAGAAGGAAATATCAAATGGCTGTGATCAGTGCTTCAAAGAGATAAGAAAATGAGTTTTTTACCCATAAACAAGAAATAGTATATTTATTTGAAATTCTGAGAACATCAGAGCCCTCATAAATTAAACATATGGAAGCAGAAACGAAAAACTCGAAGGATGTGTTGCAAGATAAAGTGAGTGCATCGCTCTGCAGTGGGGTAGAGGCCCAGGCAGAGAACGTGAGGGATGCTGTGGGATCACGGCGCTTTCAGCATCGCAAAGAAAGAGGTGCAGGGGGAAGTGCTGGTCAGAGCACGGTCCAGGCCATGGAACTGCGGGAGCCAGGGTAAAATTTGTCTTCTAGGACCCTCTGGGCTCCTGGGAGACAGTGACTTAGTTGAGCTTTGCGTTTGGGGGAGGGGTGCTTCCTACGACGGCCGTTCTAGGAAGATACTCTCTGGGCGTCCTGAATACGTATTTGCTGGTGACAGTAAAAATTATTAAATACTTTTAGAAAGATATTGGGCAATAAGAATCAGGTGCTTTTTAAATATTCATCCCCTTGTACCCACTCATTTCACTTTCTGGAATGTACCATCAGGTCCTATCTGACCTTCATAGAAAGCTCTAGCATGAGGGTATTTGTCAGTGCATTGCTGCTTCGGAAATAACCTAAAAGAAAGGCCTTGGGTTGCTCCAGTGTGTACCTCCTTTCAAGAGGCGTGCAGCTAGGCTGAGCCCTCTACACAAGGCTCACTGTGAAAACCGTGTACTGTTGAGAGGGTATTTGTATGATCATGAATGGAAATTATAGCTTATGAAACTGCGTGACTATGTGGAGAAATGTCTGCTTATTAAATAAACAAGACGTGAAAGAAGTTCCCAGCCAGCCGGGCTGAAGACAGATTCTGTGTGATTTCGCCTTTCTTCTTTTCTCTACTTCCATATTTTCTCTAATGAGTGTGTGATCCATTTAATGAAGAAAATCAGCACGTAACTAATTTTCTCTCTAAAGGTAAGGTGTTTATCAAACATGAACTTTATTTTTTGTTCTTTTTTTGTAATGGTAATGTTTCATTGATGTATATATTAATAATCGTGTATATATTCAACTGAACAGTTTAGCATTTTGCAATAAAAATAAGTCCATTTTTAATACTGATTAAAATTCTCTCATGTTTCCCATATATATGTTTTTTCTAGATCCTGTGAAAACTACAAAGGGGGGTATCTTTGAATCACATATATTTGATCAGAAATCAGCGTTTGATCAGTATTCAGAGTAAACACGATAACCTCACCCTTGGGTTTAGCCCTGTCTGTGTCACATCCGTCAAACACGAGCTTCAGGTCGGGCCCCTGCGCCGGAACCCTGTGCCCCCCTTAAGCCGGCTGTGAGCGCTGTCTCCATCGTGCCTTCTCTAGAATGAGCTCGTGTGAGGGTGGATGGCATGACGGCACAGCTGAACCTACCAGCACACACCCGGCCCTCAGGGAGAGCCGTGGTAGAACAGCAATGGCTAGGAAAACACCGGCTACAGCTGCTATCACTTATTTTTTTAGATCCTTCCATCCCAATAACTTTATCTTTGTCTGTGAGTGACCCCAGGCTTTGCTCCCCACCACCACCTCTTATGTCACCTAGCACCTTCCTCTCCCCTCCCTCTTAACCCCAGACCCTCAGGGTGTTGGCCGGCACCGGTCAGGTTACCAGTTTGTCTGCTGTGTAAATATCCAGTATTTGCCTTCGGCATTTCCAGTATTTGCCTTCATCGTTCTAACTTACTTTGCTACCGTTCTGACCATTTTGGTGAGGATGGCTGTGTGTCATCCTTCCTTGTGGCGATATAATAGTTCACGTGTGGACAGGCCACGTCCTTGCTCTAACCACCCGTCAAAGGCCATTTAGGCTGGGCCATGTCCGAGTGATTGTAAACATGCTGCTGTGAACTTTGGGGAACATGCGGGTTTCTGTGACTGTGGTTTCTTAGTCTTTGCTGATCAGACCTATTTTTATATCCCAAATGTCCTCCACCTTCCACCACGGTGCTAAAAATAAATTGCTAACCCTAATCAGATTACAGCGGAAATCCTTCCCTGTCCTTCCTTACCCTGAGTGCCTGGAGTTATGGTCACTGAATAGAAAGTTCCAGGTAGAAGAACATGGAAGATGTGCAGAAGGATCATTTAGGACGGAAGTTCAGCTCAGTTTCAGGAGCAGCATCTTTAGTTGAGCCTCAGGACGTGGCTCCCATGCATGACAGGCTGGCATTTTGAGGATTTATGACTTCGTGCCGGCTGGTAGGAAAGTGAGGTTGCAAGGGACTCCAGTTTATCCCTTAAAGGACTGCTCTGTCTCCTAAGCATAAATTACTCCTGCAGTTGGGTGGAGTGTGGATCTGTTAGATAATAAATTCTAGAAAAAGGGGATCTGGGTCTCCACTTCACGTCAGAGAACCAGAATGAAATCTGGGAACAAGATGTGAAAGCAGAGCAAACATCTCCGACAAGATCCAATAAATTAGGGGCTGGTCATACACACACGAGCATGTGTACACATAGACACATGTGCATATAAACACATGTGGCACACGTGTCTTATTACAGTTCAGTACAGTTGCCCCCAGCCCTCTTTCTACCAGGGAGGGAAACAGAGTCAGGAAGGATATGAATCATGAGACTAATAGGAGGTGGGGGGACGTGGTGCCGAGAGAGTTCGAAGAAGTGAGAGGTCACACGTCGTTATGTGTTCCCCGGCTAGTGGGGAGCTGGCCTGGGAAGTCGGGTTAGCATGTGAATAGCTGTAGGTGGTGGAGGGCATGTTTCCAGGGAAAAGAAGTGACACAAGAAGAGGGTGGGCAGATGCCTGAACCAACAAGCTTCTGTCTGGGCTCCTGTCACGGCTTCTTCTTCTTTATTTTTTTTTAAGATTTATTTATTTATTTATACAAGCTCTGGGTACAGTTGGAAGCGCGGGAGGGCGAGAGAATTCACCAGAGCCAGAGCGGGGAGCAGAGCAGGCAGAAGGACCGAAGTACACTGCTGAGGGGAGCAGCGGGTGGCAGGAGAGGTCTGCGCGCCATGTGGGACCCTCACCGGTGGCCGGGGATGGAACCAGCACTGCGCCACCGGGGAGGCCCCCTGTCACGGCTTCTTGACAGACCTTTAGTGCACGCCAGCAGGTGTGGGCTGGTCTTGTGACAGTTGCCACAAGGATTGTTGAATTAATTTCTTAAAGTGGGATAGAGGGTGACATAAGGAAAGAAGAGAAGATGGTGTAGATTTTCCATATGTACAGGTTGGTGACACCTGCCATGTTCCTCTGAACATGTGCCTTGTGATGGGCCTCGGCCTGTGCAGCCTTCTCAGGTATTCATCCGTCCATCCATATGCGCGTTCACTTGTTCACCCATGCATCCCCCCAGCCACCTACCCATGCATCCCTCCACCCACCCA